TCTCTCCCTAAAAAAAAAAAAAAAAAAAAAAAAAAAAGATATTTATCCTCATTGAGGATTTTGATTTTGAGTCTGCCTCATCGGCAAGATCGTCCCTTGAATCGCTACCTACTCATCCTCCGGGCCACGCAGGGGCGGCAGCGTTCATTCCTTGTCCGACTCATCTTCGGGCTCACGCAGCCAAGTGAAGAAGGCGGTGACGGACTTGAGGGCCACGCCTTTGCCGCTCTGCTCCGCTGCGTCTTTGCTGGACTCCCACTTATAGAAGGCCTCCTCCTTGATGACGTCGGCGTCGTACAGTGCGTCGAAGAACATACGCAGGAGGTCTGTGGGGGGAAAACCACAGCGAGGGCGAAAAGACATGTTAGGACTAGACAATTCTAAAAAGTTATTGAAACCATGCAAACTCTTTTAACCTTGCCCAAACGGTATTAATCATTTGGAACCAGAATCTTTTAAATTCAAATGAAGCCCAAAAGCAATATGCGTTTCTAACACTAACACTGCACTGATAAATGTAGGAAAACCCCAAGTAACTTTGATGAATAGAAGGCCTGGTTTCGAGAGACAGTTTTTTTTATTTGTTTGATCTGAGGGGAAACGGGAGACTCACTGGCAGGCTGCTCCATTTGCACCATGAGTGCCTGCAGGGCATATAGCCCCTGCAGCTCCTTCTGCTCGTCGCTCAGGAAGCTCTGCAGCAGGGCGGCTCTGTTGTTGATCAGCGGCACGTCCACTTTGTACGGGTCCCCTGCAAGCCACGCGCCGTTGAAAGAAGGGAACTTTCAGACTAAAGCATTGGCTAAGACGGTGGCCGCCTTTACCTGTGATGGCCAACTGGCACACGGCGGTCATGAGCGCGCGTAGAAACTGGTTTGAGGAGCTCTGCTGCTCATCCAGGTTGGCCTGAAAAGGGGGAGTTATTTGTTTTTGCTTTTTTCCCCCCCACCCCAGTAAATGTTCATTTTCTTGTATTTTTCTTTTAATTGCTGCCAAATGTAACCTCAATAGTACGCTATGGTTAAAGAAGTGAGGAGGCACCTCGACCCAGTCTTTGATCCGCTGGTCGCTGGCCTTGTCGCGGAGGAGGCGGTCCAGCTCTTGCCTCAGCTCATCCGCGCTCAGAGACTTCTTATTGCTCTCCTTGGACTCCTGCTCCTCGCCGGTTGTGAACTCCACTTTCTGAAAGACAAACAAAAACTTGGATCAAAAACGGACACAGATGAACAGGGCCTTTCATGTCTTCACAGAGTACAAATTGAGAAGGCACATTTCCAACCTTTACAAATATAAAGAAATGACAATTCCTCATTATAAAAATGAGACCTATTCTTGTGATAAGCCAACTTAAGTTTTATTTTTTCATTACAAAAAAGTGAGCCAAAAAGATTTTTATTTTCATGTCTTAATTTTTCGGTAATTTTTTTGTGCTAAATAGGCCTAGTTTATAAATTTGATACAGTTAACAAATCCCACCCTGACCTTTACGCCAAGCATTTCTTCTGCATATCTTAAAAAAAAAAAAAAAAAAAAAAAAAACAACTCTAAAAAAGTACTGTATATGTAAAGAGATATTTGTATTTTATATTATAAATACTATATATGATTAAATAATTTTCAAAGAAAAAGGGTCAATCATTTTAGTTCAGATTTTGAAAGTTGTATTTAGAAGTATTTATAAGTATTTAAAAGTATTCTTGCAAACTAATATGCAATTATGTTACTTTATACAAGCTAAAACAACATTTACCGATAAAATTAAATGACATATAGATACTTATGAAAAAATGAGATTTGAACTCAATTTAAAAGTGTTTAGAAAACAGATTTTTAACATTTTATATTTATATAACAATAATACAATCATCCTAGAAAAGACAAATAATGTCAGGTAACACACCTGGTCAGTGACAAACTTGTTGACGTCTTCATTCTTGGACAGGAAGTCGCTCCAGTTCAGTCCCGCCTCTTTCCACAGGGCGCCGACCTTACTGCGAGTCTAGCGTTTAAGTGAAAAGAAAAAAAACAAAACCTCAAAATCAATATTGTTCCCTTACAAAATGTTCTCCTTCGCATCATAAACAAAAAAAAGGCAGGAGTGATGTAAGAACATACCATCCCCTTGCACAGCAAGTGGAGGATGTGCACCAGCAGCACACTGGCCTTCCCCAGAGGCAAGAGAGGCTTGGCGATCTCCCTGGAGGAGCAATTAAGACACAGTCAAGCTTTGCACGTCATTCTTATTTGTTTAGTCTGACGCACAGAGAGTTGAAGGCAATATCTGAAAAGAAGACATGATGGTCAATTTATGATTGCTTGTATACAAATAGGACTCGCCTCTGGAGTGCCTTGCCACCCCCATCAAGTGTGAAATTAAACAACCTTGTAAATATTTGATCTGCTTTATTGCCGAAAATTATTCCGCGAGCTAACTGCTCTGATGTTTGACGAGCCGCTTTCAAATGACAGACGGACTAAACCGTCTGAAGCACTATCGTGCTCAACATCCTGCTCCTGATTAGGAGCACAAGAGTGACTGTTCGACCACTTTGCCGTGTTTATGTGGGTGGAGTTGAGATTTGTGTTTGCTGGCGTTGTTTATGGCCCGCATACACAAGGTCATGTCCCAAGTGCAGCCAGTGTGAGTGAAAATCCTTTATATGCCTTTGTTGACTCTTTTTGCCATGCTCTGGGGGCACTGCGCCCGCAAGCAGAAGCAATCCTAGTGTCAAGCCTTGTCCCTCATTGTCATGGTAACAAAATAAAAACAGCATTTTATTTTTTGTCATTCAGTTCCTTGTTTGAGGGAGCAAGTTGCCCAAAAAAAAAAAAACAGTACTGAGAAATTCAACAGGTGGCCAATCAAACATTGAGAGTGGGTCAAATTGAGTTCGTCTGCAAAAGGTTATTGTGCATTTTAGGTTCATCCCCGAAATTTCACTCAAGGCCCCTGACTTATTGTACGAGTCGTGTCTGTGACATTTAAGTTGTTCTGATGGCACCATGTGATGAAAAATAAGTGCAAGTATTTGCCAAATATTTTTTTCAGCTCACCCAAAGAGCTGCCTCATGGGGATGCCGCCTTCAAGAAGCATGGGGGTGATGATTTCAGCCAGGTAGAGCCAGATGTGAGGTATGTCAATGGCCATGTCTTCGGCCACCTCCAAGATCTGTAGAAGCCTGCGATAACAAAAGCACATGCGACTCAAGTCTTTCTGTTGTTGTTTGCAGGTTTGAACGTGCGGCGGTGAACACCAAGTCGGGACTCACCCTTTGAAATACTGCGGAGCAGGCATGGTCCCCGAACTGGTGAGTTTGTGCAGCAACATGCCCATGTGCTCTCGAGCACTGGTGCTACGTTCCAGCGTCGACTCCATGCCCTGCCGCACGAACACGTAGAGCAATGCGGTGCTGTTGAGCTCGGCCACGCACTGGAGCGCCTCCTACAGCACCGGAGGGGGACAAAGTAGAATTGTTGGAGGTGTAGGTTGCACACGTCCAACAAGGGCGCCGTGCGGTGTTCGTACCTTCAAATCATTGATGTGGAGGTACTCTTCAATGATGGCAGTGGACTTCTTTTCAACCTCCTCTTCGGTCAATGCTAGTTTCGGAAGAGAAGGGGCGGGGGCAGTCTCGCGCTTTGCTACAAGTGAGGAGGGAAAGACAAAAAAAGATCTATTTTGAATACCATATTTTCAAGACCATAAGGCACACTTAAAATTTTTAGAAAATTTATCCAAAATGGACAGGCCGCCTAATAATGCAGAATTTCAAAATCTGTGACAGTTGTGCGAATTTGATGAGTGCTTGGCTGATTAATGTTGTGTCGACATGCTGCTTATGTAGAAGAAAGGTGGACGTAGCTGAGGACAGCATGCGGACCAGCTCCGCAAAGTCAAGGCGACGAGAGTCAGTCTCCGCGGAAACAAGGCGAGAAGGCCCGAGTCGGAAGACCAACTCGAGCAATGGATTCATGATCAAAGAACAGCCGGGAGAAACGTGTCCCTACAAACACCATTCGACTGAGGGCAAAAACGCTTGCAGAAAAAAGGAAAATCGAACATTTTCAAGGAGGGTCGTCTTTGTGCTTTCGTTTTATGAAACGGCGCCCAACAATCCATGCAGGCAAGGAAGACGGTGGCGCAGCAACATTCGGGGGATTACAGGGAAAACCTGGCCATCTTCCGCTCCTACTGCGATAAAAAGATTGCTGACAAACACATCTAGACCAACCACCTCACCAACATGGAGATGCCGCTCACAAAGGACCATGCACTTCCAAAACAGATGGTTAGCCCTGAACCTGTGGACCAATAGTACAAGCTTGTGGAACACCGCCAGTTTTTGGCAGTCATGGAAGTGGAACTAGTACCAGGCCTTGTGGAAGACAAGTCCTCTTTTTGACTGGAACCCCAGGCAATTTTTACATGAAATGTAAAATGTAATAAATTGAGCACACAGCCTTTTGCAACAGTCAGTATCTATCTACAGGTGTTCAGATTACTTGCCATTCCTACAGCAGCAATTAACCACATTTGTAAGCACATCAACAGTCAGTCCTGCTGGTACCTGGGAGGTCTTTGCTTGGACCGCGGTCCCGACTTCCCCTGTCTCTGCTGCCTCGGTCCCGGCTGCCTCGATCTCTGCTGCCCCGATCGCGGCTGTCAGTCATGCTAGCCACACGGCGCACGGGCTCATTGGTGGGCTTATTGTCGCCGCCCCTTCCGCCGCGCTCCTCCGTTTCTCTGCTGAAACTCCGCTTGGTGTTTTGGCTACGGCTGTTTCTGTCGTCGCGGTCGAAGCGGTCAAAGCGATCTCGGTCCTGATCGGCCCGGTCTCTGTCGCCGCCTCGCTCGCGACTGGAGCTCGACCTGCCCATTTCAGCAAAAGCGTGAGCAGTGATTAAACTGTTGTCTGGGTGGGCACAAATGATGAAGGGAAGGAACCGACGCTGCTGACCTCTGAGGAGCTCTGCGATCCGAGTCTGAGGACAAGGAGCTAGACTGCTGCAGGGCACCAAATCGGTTGACGGTGCTCGTAGTTGAGCGACCAGAGTCTAAATCAGGAGGAAAAGGACATGTTGAAAATCCCCATTTAAAAAAAAAAAAAAAAGGAGAGAGAGTAAGTAAAATATGTTTTGAGGGACTTACTACCTTGGTCTCCTGTTGCAGTTTTAACACCCATTCCTCCACTGCTACCTTTGCCCCAACCTTTGCCTGACGGAGCCAACCGCTGACTGTTGAGGTCCGGATTGTCAGGCTAAATGGGAAGCACAGGACAAGGGGTTGACAAAATGAAAACGCTGGTGGTAAAAAGCAACAGTGCTTTGCACAGGGCTTATCTGGCATATGAAAATCTGAGATGGCCACCTCAACCAGCTCAAAAACCTCCAACTTTATCACAATTTATTTGACCGGTGGCACACCAAGTTGTGCCATTTTTAACTGCAGTTGTGGGAGAACACCACAGCAACACTGCAGCAGTCCTAAAACCATCAAAAAGGAACTCATTTTGAATAGGGGTGCACAATTTTTAAAAATAACAATTGTGATTTTTTTTTTTTGCCCGTCAATATTGCAATGCATGAAGATCCCCTTTACAAGTTTTTTTTTTTTTAACAAGCAAAAGCAATAAATTAATCTATCACAATAATTTATACAAAAATGGCTGTCTGATAGGTTAGGCTTACACTAAAATAAAGGCAAATGAACCATTGCTGAATATCAAAGTGTTTAACCACTTCAATCAAGCGTGAGCTTACTGAATACTTTGACTTGTAGACTTTTAAGCGTTCGCTTGTGGCGTAACCATTAGATTACAAGAATAGTGCAAACAAATCTATGCCTTTATCACTTCAACTTTTATGTAAGCATGTGAAATTTGCACTCGCGCTGTACTTATTGAACCAAGAAAATCCTTGTTCTTACCTTTGTGATCTTGAGGCGAGCGGTGTCGTAGGGTCTCTTAGTGATGGGCACAGTGTTCCAGCCCTCATCTTGGGGCACGCTGCCCCGGCCACCTCCCGGTGTGTGAGGGCCCCGGCCGCCCAGACCTCCACCCATCCTGCCGCCACCTCCTCCACCCGTGTCCTTTTTGGACATGAGCTGCTGCTGGACTTTGATCTGCTCCCTGTGCTCTTCCATCTCGGCGTCCTTGTGGATCTGGTCGATGGTTTTTGGACCCTGGTCGCCTCTACGGGGCACCCAGTTACACTACAGGACAGGGGACGGAGCGAGGTTAGACTACAAGAGACTTGAAACGGGACTTTGGGTAATGCCTCTCTCGCCAAAGGATTTTTAGGAATTCCGAGAGGAGGCTTGGG